GGAGATACGAGAAGAAATAAGGCAAAATTGCATTTTTTTGTCCGACTGCTTTGGCCGTGGCAATTTTAGTGTTGAAATCGGAGCATTTTTCTATTTAATCCTGTAATTTCCAAAGTAACGCAATTTCAATCCTCCCAGTGCCCGAAAGTCAAAATGGTGGCTGAATTTGTCAAGTGGCCCGCACGTAACGCCCTCATGGCCGATCTGCTTTGACTTGGCATGCCAAAATGCGGACGTGGCAAAGGAATTAATTAAGAAATATAAAAACAGCATAAAAAATACCCACGTAATGCATATAGTTGGAGGAAAATGAATGGGAAGTTCAATCGTTAATTGTAGATCAAAATCCTAATCTTTCACATTTTCCATCAGTTTTTTTTCCAGAACACTAATTACGTATTCCATTCTAGAGAGAAGGTCGATTCCAGACATAAGGTTGATTCTTGAGACATAAGGGCGATTTTAGAGGATTCCACATAGAGATGCGATGAAATGAAGGCCAACCGAGCAGGTCGATTGAACGAGCATGAAGATGGTGAACTTAATATGGGTTAGGGCAAAGGATTATTGGGACTCAAACATCCCTGCCTATGATGAGTTTAATGTAATTTTGTCCATCTGAGGTCATTGAATGAGTCCACATTGAAGAAAATGTCTAACAAATTTGGTGTTGTTGGTAGTAGGAAGTACTTCTTATTGATTGGTTTGAGTTTCAAGTCATTGCTTGAGTTTCAATAAGGGCTTATGTCATAAATATGGTTGTAGATAAATGACTATGTATGTTGAAAATGAAGGTACATTCAGTCCTTCTAGTTTGTCCATGGATGGGGGATGGAATAGTTTTGATTCTGATTCGGAGGGTGGGAGTGAGTATGACAGTGGGAGTTATTGTGAATATTTTTACTGGAGTAGAATCGAAAGATTCGACACCGGGTCGTGTCTCTCGATGAAGGTTAGCTGGAATACTATGTGCGTTTATTCAAACCCGAATGAAAGAAATATAAATCCTAAACATTCTAAATCAAAGTTTGGTTGGTTTTTTATTATCAACTACTGCAAGAATTAAAATAAAGCAAGTAAATAGCAGACGATCACGTAGAATAAATAAGATTTAAGAAGCTAGGGAGTCGGGGATATCTGTTTTGGTTCGAAATGCGATTATCAAGCAAGTGATTGTTCTGCTAAGTGATTTGAATAACCGACACGTTCAAATATTCATTCTCAATAACTCTTCGTAACAAGAGAACAAACTAGAACAACAGATTATTGATTCATTTAACTTCTAGGCAATACAGTTACGAACAAGCCTAGCCTATGCGAGCCTATTTCGAACGACTCTTCCCCTTTCGGTTCTAAGAGTCGATTAACTTGGACTAGAAGGTAATTAATCAACTAGCCCGCTTAGAATTAACAACATCAAACATGAATTTATCAAATTCAATTGAAACAATTGCAAGTTGAAGTGTCACCCTTCAACAATTATCAAAATCCAACATAATGATCGAAAAACTCTAATTAAAGATTAAAACCCTAATTAAAGATTAACTCACATAAGAAGAACAATCAACGAACACTCACGATCACACACAATTCCGAAACATCAATCCCCTATCCCTAGCCTACGGATTTTAGCTACTCATAATCGAAGAAGCAATGAAAGCATTCATCACAACTCAAGAATTCATAATTAACGATAAAGTTAAAGGAAATCTTACGATTGATAAAATCCAAATGTCGCCTTCGATAAACAAGATTAATTCCGAAAGCAATAGCAAAATCCAATGTCAAATTTTTGTTCTACGATGAAAAAAATAAAAGAACGATGAAAAACGAACGAGAAGAATGAGAGAATAGGGTTCGGTGTTTATTTGTCGTAAGAAGAGAATGAATCCTCCCGATTGAGTTCGGTCTTCTATTTATATTCATCAGCGGGCCACGGCGCAAGGGGTGGTCACGAGCGCGGCGGAGATGAGCAGCACGATGCGGAGCTCGCTCGCGGCGCGGCAGGAAAATTTCTGGGCAGAGTCTCGCGGCGCGGTGAAACAACACGGCGCGACGAGGAAAACCAGCGTTTTGTCCGTCTTGTGGCAGTAACGCGGCGCAGCCAGTTTCTTCCTTCACGGCGCGGGAGTGGTGGCGCGGCGCGACAAGTGTCCTCATCACGACACAGGGGTGTCGCGTAAGCTCTGCAGACCGTAAGCATCATGTGCCGCGGCGCGACAGGTAGCTGCGGCGCGAGGCGCAATACTTAGTCTTATGTCCATGATGTGACGTGGCCGCGGCGCGACGGAATTCCTTCTTCACGGCGCGACGGGTGTGCAGCAGTTCATTAAATGTGCAGCAAATTTGTATCCCATCTCTCTCGCTCTAAAAATGGCTATTCCGGTAAACCATCTTTCGTTTCTTCAGACATGACGAGCTTTAGGTAGGCTCGACATAGAATTCCAATTGAAGAATTAGAGCAATCCGTTTTCGTGTGTCGTGCGGAGGCATGAGAGTTCGGGCGTATTGCGCTACTTGCATTTTGTGTTCGTACGAGCACGTTTGGGAACCGAATTTGACCCCATTTTTCTTATGTATTGTCAACGAGACCTTGCATTTAATGATGTTCACCCGGTCCATTTGCCGTGAGAAATAAATCATATCGAATTTTCCAACCTGCACAGCACAACGACAAACAACCGGAAAAAGACAAAAAAATACGAGAAAAAACAAAATATAACATAATATGCAATAAACGACAAAGCGACCTAAAAACCAAATAAAAGACCTAAAATGGGGAAAAAATAAAAGAAAAAATAATAACAAAAAAACGCAACAAAAATGGGACAAACAAGAGTGAGTATGAGAGTGGTTCTGAGAGTGAGAAGGGTAGTGGTTGTGAGAGTGAAAATTTAGATGCTAAAGAAAATGAAAATGAACAGAGTGAACTAGAGAGGTAAGAATACAATGGTGCTTTACTTGATAGTGATTATAATTTCAAAAATAGTAGCAGTGATGCATTGTTTAGAGAGAATATGGATGCAGGGGCTAGTAGGGGGGAGGGGGGGGAGGGGATGAGGGAGATTCTAGTAGTGATAGTGATGATGATGTAATTGAGGTTCCTGATGATTTAGATGTACATAGGGATAGTGATGATGAAGATGTGGATCCTCATGTGTTTAATTCTAACCAAGTGTGGGATCACGTGTTTGATATTGGTTGACGATCCCGAACTATTTTTTTGGGGGGTTTCTAGTCAATGCATGCCCGTAGAACTCCATGACCCACAGAGAAAAAATTGTTGAAAATAATAGCTAACTATAGATAAAGAGAAGCCCAATTTTATTACTCAATATTTATCTCAAGAACACTATAATATAGTATACAACACAAAGCTCAAAGAAGTTCTTTGAAACTTCGGATACCCCAGTGATCGACCCTGAGCAATAAGGTTAAACAACTTTACGTTCGTTGTCACAGGACGACACCAGCTCGAAAAGAATAGAGGCAGTAAATAGGATTTGACAAGAGACCGAGAGAGAAGACCCTGTAAAGAGCTGATGGTGGAGGATGACGGGCCGACCTATCGAAAACATCTCCGCATAGAGAGGAATATGACCGAACTAATATAGGGTTAATGGTTGATAAAAATTAGTTGGTCAACAAACTATAATTTAACTAGTCAGCTAGTTTTACCAATCATCAGTTTTTCTATGGAGCCAACAGTTGGCTACATAGTGAAGCCAATCTTTTATATACAACAAATATACATACCATATTAATAAAATTATATTAATGTTATTTAAGTAATCAGAGAATATGGTAGGTTTATTTATTGTATATAGAAGGTTGACTCCACTATAGAGCCAACTGTTGGCTTCATAGCAAAACTGTACCAATTGTGCCCTACTACTACCTCATAAAATTTTATAGTGGTAACTTATGGTTTTTACTTTTGACTAGAGAATTTATTGAAGGTTAGGCCATTCATTCATTTTATTTAAGGTACTAATTTGAAAAGCAAACTTTATGGATAAACTTTATGAAATATATAATAAGCCATTATTTTATTTATTAAGGTACTAATTTGAAAAGCAAACTATAGATATTTTGTATATGTAACATCCATTCATTAAAATTTATTTTGTATATTTTGTATATTTTATTTATGGATATTTTGTATATTTTTTCATTTACTAAAATGAAAAAAAAATAAAAATTACCTCCCCACTTAAATAGGAATATAAAATAAAGGAATCTACCTATTTTTTCGAGACAAGAAATTCAGAAAAAGCTTTTCAAACCATCTTATTTTTGCTGGATTTATTACTCCAAATTATTCAGACTGTCACTTACATCTTCCCCTGAAAATTCTCACACAAGCGCACAAAAAACCCTCTCTCCCCGACAAAATCTGCGTCGCCCGATTTCCCGCGCCTTTCCGGCGATTTCACGCCGTGCAACGGTAGCCTCCGCCGTCCCCTCTGTATCTCCCCGCCGATTGGGCGGAAGCTTGTTTATTTTTATTTTTATTTTTTAATATTGTTTTGTTGTTTATGTTTGTTCTCGTGGCTTGTTTGTTGGTTTCCTTGTGCTGTATTTGTTCATTTCTTTGTTTTGATTCCATTATAGACGCGAATTTGCTGTTTTCACGTTTCTTAGAGGTAAGCGCGTTCGCACGTGCTCTGATGATGGGATTTTGCTTAATTTTGTTCAGATCAGGTTGCTGTACTGTGTTTTAGCCGTGTCGGCTGCTTGCATGTTGAATCTGAGGGACTGGAAAAGTAAATTTTGTAGAAATTGTTGATTTTGTTCTTTAATTGACGGTTTTGTGCAAATGGGTTGTTACACAGACTGTTATTTGCTAGCACGCTTACTGCTACTTTGGTTTCAGTTTTACATGCGTTGTTCGTGGGGAGCTTATGACCGAGTAGGTTTTTGATATGCGTTTCTGAGCTTTATAGCTTTGGTGGGTGAGGGAAATTTGCCTGCACGTGGGGCAAATTACTGATGTGGACGAATATTTTCAAGATCGTAAGTTTATGCGTTTACACCTTGTTGCAGAATCTGTTGCGTTTCGTTTCGCTTCATTTGGTGGCACGTGCAGTATGAGTTCAATCAGTTGTTCACTCTCTTAATTGCTATATTGCACAATGATTCACTCCATTATTTTGCTCGCGATACATTAAATTTTATGTACTTAGTTTAGCCTATATCATTGAGTCATGCAACCAGTCAATCCTGGCCAATTTGAGTTAGTAAAAGACCTTTTTTATTGGCTTAATTTATTCATATTTATATGCCGGAGTTAGCAAAGCAGGACAATAAGCTTTTGATTTATATCAAATTGAAAGTGTGTATTAATGATGTGCATGAACCAAAGAGATTATGACTGCAATCCTTCAATAGATAGGAGTTCAGTATTCCTAGTTCAGTTAGTTGGTTGCACCAGAGGCTTGTAAGCCGATACCATGTCTACAATTGCAAAAATGAGTGTCGCCGGTTGGCTTTTTCAGATTCCTTGTGCTTGGAAGTTTATGCATAAATGCAGTTATGCTTATGCGAATGTCTAAATTTCAGAATAGTAGCCCATCAATGTTTAGTGCAATAACTGACATATCTATCCAGTATCCAAAGAGTGCCATACATTTCTAAGTCCCCAAGTAATTATAGGACGCTATTAAGTCTAATAACTGACACGTAAATACCATCTCAGAGGGAAGTATGGTTTCAAGAATAATCTGGCTGACAAGTAGTCAACCACTGTAGTAGGGACTTGGATGCATGCAGAAATTTGTTTGTAGTTAGGTTGAAGTTTTCAACAAACTTGTGTAAAGTTATCCCTAAATTGTTTGTAACTATTTATGAGTCTACTGTGTTAAAGAATGAGCATTGTACTTCCGTGGAGTAGATAATTTCACCCAGATTCTTCTCTCATGTGGATGTTTTAACATGGATTGCAACATAAAATGCGTCAAATAGAAATTAAAAATACTTCCTTGATTGGGGCCCCACTAAAGTACAAGTGATTACTATTCTGTTCCACTATGACCTGTCGGTTATTAGCCGTTGAGTTTCTGCTGATTTTCTTATAGTAAGACCTTTTGTAGAAAGATAATAGCTAAATAGTTATCTATATAATGCTATCTTACTTTTGGTGCAAGGATTATACAAAATCTGCGAAATGGGTTATTAAGGTTTGTACATCAACGTTTAACTTTGTTTAATTTCAACAACAGCCAGCTAATTTGTTTGCAGGGAGTTCACTTTCCGATTTTCATTATTGAGCATATATGACACTTCCTATTATGGAGATTTTCCTTAAATTGGCAATTTTTCTTATTATTGTATACCGGAAGGTATAATTTTTTCTAATTTGTTTTCCATCTTTTTTGCCAGGGTGGTTTGCATCAGATATCGTGGTTTCAGTTTCTTCCTCATGAGTATGATTTCAGTACAGCGCCTGATAAGAGGTGTCATACAAAACTACATGATGCTAATATTTGATGAATTTATTGGAAGAAATGTTAAGAAAATACTTTATTGAAATGATCAACTTGTTATATCAGAAGATTCTTGTCACACTTTGTATGTCTTTCCCTTTAGCTTGGGACTTATTAGTGTCTAAGCAACCAAACTAGCTTGTTTGGGTCTGTTCATTGAATGACAAATAGACTCTGGACATTGAGTATTATCTACGGGATGTAGGCATATTTTTCAGATTCATTTAAATCTCTATTGTTTTTTGACCCTTTGTCAAGTTATTTCTTTTTGAAGATGGTTTTCTTTTGTTTTTTCTCCTATGTGTATGTTACATGCTCTGCTAATCTCTTTGTGCTTGCTATTTCATAAGTTTGAACGGAAACCAGAAAGATGTGGCAACATGGGAGGTGCTTTCAGCTCATCTGCAACTGCAGAAGGAGGGGTTTCTCAGCTCATGGACTAATTCCTTTGTGGGGCCGTGGGATCCTTCACAAGGGTTGCATAATCCTGGTCAAGATTAATTATGTCACATTGTGGATCAGACAGAACACATGCGTGTTTCAAACTTTTGACTTCTGCTTTTATTGCGCAGATGAAAAAATCAAACTGTGGCTGTTTCTACCGGGCCAACATTCTTCTATTGTTGAGAAGGCACAGCCTGCTGTTGCCAAGTTGAGAGGTATGCTGTTTTCAACTGTTTACCGTTTTATATCTTTGCTTCATGTTGCTTTAGTATATGGTTTCACCCGTAAACCATATAATGGAGAAGATGATCACTAACCTGGATTTCCCTTTTCCTTTTTCTTTTTAAAAATTTTATCCATGAAGTTCTCGCATCTGGACTTTGGGTGGCTCCTGGTGACTCTGAAGAAGTTGCAGCTGCCCTGTGTCAGGCTTTGCGAAATTGTATAGAAAGGTTATGTTATGCTTTGTTTTCCTGTTGATATATTTGAATGTAATCATCAATTAAAGATGTTTTTATTTTGATTTTTTTTTTATTTTGATTTTTTTCATCATTCATTTTTCATTCAGCAGAGCTCTTAGAGGGCTTTCATATGTACGATTTGGAGATGTGTTTTCAAAGTATCATCCTTTTACACAGAATGAAGAACTATTCCGGTATGCTCCTGGGTATTAATGTTGTCTATTGAGACTTGAGATTTAGATGTTAAAGTATTGAGAACTTTTGTTTGACTAGTACCTGAGTTTGCTATTATGAAAATTGCATGGAATATTTTGGGAGCTTTCTTATGTTTAATGCTTTATGTTCACTTTATAATTGCTGCTGATATCTTTCATACTGAAGCCATTTAAGAGAAACATATGGTTTTATAGGTTAAGTTGCAATTGAACTGACGTTTGAATGACTATACTTTTTCTCTTAGAATGAATTTGTTTAACCTGAAGGTTATACTATTTCTTTTCTGTCTTTAAAAAGACAGTTGAAGTGATGTTTGGTAAGAAAAGTTAATTTGGTTTTGTTGGTTTTGTAGATTTTATCAGCTAATATTGCTTGATGTCATGGATTTGTTTTTACTTGTCATTGGTGGACTTGTTAAGTTCTTTACCGAATGTTGGAGTATAAAAAATTGTTCTGCTCTTTTGCTATTCCGAAAAGGCTATTGATGTAAAGTGACTTTGAAATTAATCTGGTTGGCTGGTTCATACATGTATATTGATGATAATTGCCAACTGTGCTAGCCATATGTTTTATGCTTATTGTTGAATTTTGGGTGATGTAATCTATGAATTATCATGTAAAGCAATAGACATATCGTATGGTGGGAATAATCTTAAGAAACAAAAGCCCAGAAATCGATGCTCAAATTGCTTTTATTTCTTAATTGGTAATTGTTACTCATGAGAAAGAGAAACTGAAGTGGTGCATCAGTCCCTCTTATGTTGACTCAGGTTTGGCTTGATAAATTTATGCGTGAGATTAAGTTAAAAAGACAAAATGACCTTAGCTTTTTTGCTCTTTTTTTGGTCTGGTATTGTCGCCGAAATCATTATAGCAAGACAACATCAAATGTTACTCACTCAAATATCTGATTTCTAGTTTCACCATTTAGTCATGCCTCTCACTGCGGCATTCTCTTGTCCGTGTTCTCACTTTATTTCCTTTGAGAACATTTAAGACAATGCTGGTGTAATGTCCAGTCTCAAGAAGCTTTATTGCCGCTTTGTAGGAAGGGTCAACCTGTAGCTGAGTTTATTTTTGCTGCAACAGAAGAAACAATATTTGTTCATGTCATCATATCTGCTAAGTAAGTCTATTCTTTTGGTTCCTGCAATTTTTTCCCACCACCTGTACTTTTGATTGCTTTGGAACACTGTGATATTGCTATATGTTCTTTCCACTGATCAACTCTGTTTGCCACTTTTAGACATGTCAGAGCGCTTTCAAGTGGTGACATTGAACCATTCCTCAGAGGTTCTAGTAGACGATCCTCAGGTCAAATTTCAGGTTTGTTTCTGATACAATAAATTTCTGTTGTGGTTGTGTTGAACTTGTATGGGCAAGATCGTCTATTTGCATCGTGCATATGAATTTCTCAGTTCAAAATTTAAAGATGGGAGATGACATCGGGGCATCATTGTATTGATAGGAACTGATACAAGTGATAAATCATGGATAGGATATTTATGCCAGATGCTTTCAGGGTGGATTTTTTTTGGTTCTATATGCATTTTCAAGCTGTTAGGTCTGAAACTTATCTACATTGTTTCAGTTGTTGTCTCCCCTCATGGAATGCGAGGGAAGCTCACGGGATATTGTCCTGGTGATCTTGTGAAACAAGTGTATCTGAGGTTAGATTAACTACAGCCCAAAATACATTCAGCTTTCACAATCCTTATTTTTCAAATGCAGTGTCCATTCAGTATCCTGTTATTTGGTGTCTGATCTTACCTTTCACTTAATATTCAGATTCATACATAAATCATATTCATTATTTTTATATATTATCACTTTTTTTTTTTTTTTTGGCATCTGGACAGCACCGGGAAGGTTAGAGGTTCCAATGGGATTGTTGGTCTTCCTTACAGTGCTGCTCAAGTATTAGGCCTGCCATCTCAAATGAGGGGTCAAAACTGCTTTGTTGAAGTGACCCTTGGTTGCCATGACCAGACGTTGCAAAAGGATGACAACTCACATAGTGACTTTTCTCAGCCTCATGGTACCGAGTCTCTAGCTACTGGACTAGGTACGCAGAGGTGGCCTTCAGCAAAGCCCCCAGTTACTGAACAGATGTTTGTTTATCCGGCTGAGGCTGTCCTTGTTCCAGTTTTCCAGACATCTTTTGCTAGATCGTCTTTGAAGAGGTAATATTTTGATAGATGAAGTAAGATAAGAATGTATTGCTTGGCCTTTTAGTGATGATGATATATTTATTTTATGTAGAAGGTTGGCAGATTTGATTTTCTTTCCGTATTAGTATGATCTTCTTTTTTGGTCTTAGTTCTGGGACTACGAGACATGGTTCTGGTTGTCTTGATGTTATGCCTTTAAGCAGGAATATGGCTAGACTGTGTGAGAGACATGAAATGGGCAGGGGAGAAATATGACACTCTTCTTACCTTGGATCTCCTGCTTTTCCTTTCACATATTTCCGTTCGTTTCTTTTGTTAGCACTACCACAGATATGTCAATAGATTAGTTTGAGATGACTTATCACCTGTCCTGCTGATTAAATGTTCCAGTATAAGGCTAATGAGCAGTGATTAGCTATTCATATGGCTTTTTTAGTTTCTGGAGATCACCATGATTAGCCTTCTCTGGATTTAATTACATACCAAAATAGCACTTATTTATGCATCAAGTAAATGTACTTTTAGTAATTAAAGCACCGATGTTTTCTGGATGTGCTATTGGCATATAACAAATGGATTGGTATGTTTCATGGGAAGTTTTTGGATTCATCAATTAGTTGTGTCCTTACAGATGCTTTATGCACAGTTAACTGACCCGACAGTTATCTAATCTTCAGATTTTGGCTGCAAAACTGGGTTGGTCCATCATTGACGGGTTCATCACTGTTTATGCATTGGTCAGTCGAAGAGTTCCTCATCGATTTACCATCCAATGTTTCATTTTCATGTTTTATGTATGTCTGAGTTTTGTTCATTCACCTAGCTTTCACTTTACAGTGATGACAAGGTAGATTCAAGGGGTGGATCTTCATTTGAACCCAGTGGAACGTATCGCAGCAGTAGTAACAGTAACAGCAGTAGCAATTGCACCATAAGTAGTTCTTCAAGTGACAGCGATAACAATACCTTGGGAACTGGTGATCTAGACGCAGATGCAGATTCTTTGATGTCCAGACAGTCTGGTCTATCATCACTGGGTCCAATGCAGAATGATGGCCAATCGGTAATTAATGTTTTAGTAATTAAGGATCTGACAAATGGAAGAATGTTTGAATCACAGGACGATTCTGAGCTTGGTCCAACTTGCCTTTGCATTACTAAAATCACTCAATTTCTATTGCCCTAACGTTAACCATAACGAGTCCGTTACCATATCTAAGCATCCTTGGTTCCTTGAAATTGCCTTAGCATCTTGCTATTTAACTGCAAACCCCAAATATGTTTAATACAAATCACTGTTTTAACATTTCCGAGAGGGCTTGCATATGAGTAGCTGAATCTGCATTCCTTTTCTTTCTTGTTCTGTTGGAGGTCATGGTTTCCTTCATTTTTCCCCTTTTTTGTCAATCTTCTCAAGTTAAGAGCTCGTGTCCATATTTTTATGTCCCAGGCCAACGGTGATGTTGTTTTAAGCTGAAGCTAATATCTCATAGGAATTATGTTATTTACCTCTAGTTTGATTTGTGATTTTTTACTGCTCAGGGTTCTAAAAGGCCACGAACTGCGACATCTGAGTCTTTTGGTCAAGGAGGCATGGTTTTAAATCCTTCCATGACTGATTACGGTACAATGGGAGTCAACAATATTTCCTCCAGTGGGGCTGCAAATGAACAGATAGGTCCTGAATGGGGATGGGATGATGATAGAGGCTCAGGAATGGATATTCAAGCGTTGCTGTCAGAGTTTGGTGATTTTGGTGATTTCTTTTTGAACGATGCTTTACCTTTTGGCGAGGTAATCCATATCCATATACTATACCCCCATTGGCGTTAAATCATCTCTTTTGAATACTGTAAAAGCGGATGGCGAAGGGACTTCTCTTTGGTCATAATTGATAATTCTCTTTTTCATAATTGATAATTCTCTTTAATTTCAAACTAAATCTGCCACCCATGGTTTTATATTCAAGTTGACCTTAAATTTTGCTAAAAATGTGTTTTGTTTTTGAAGAACTAAGCAACCTTCTTTTAATTCTTATTTAAATGTTAAAAGAAGAGGCAAATCCCTAACTGCTTATTGATGGATGGGATTATTTTGGGTAGGAAGATTTCTCGACTACAAAGATGCTTGCATAAAGGGGTTAGCAGTACATTTATTAAGTAAACTGAACCTTTACAACTGACGAGTCAGTTGTGTTAGTAACTTTCATTTTTCACAGGACGGGGTTAGAAGAACAGAAGAAGTACATTTATTAAGGCTATGTTTGGTAGACCAATAAGCTAGCTTATAGCTTATTTGATTAGCTTATAAGCTCCCTGTATTTAAATAAGCTTCGTTTGGTAGGACGAGCTTATTTAAAAAGCTCGACCTTATTTGATAAGCTTCTTTTGGTAGCTTTTCAAATAAGCTCGTTGAAATTTTTATTTCAGCTAGCTTATCAACTAATTTTACCAAACACTTTTATCATATAAGCTAGCTTTTCAGCTATAAGTCATAAGCTATACGCTCAAAAATTACTAATAAGCTATCAGCTAGCTTATCAGCTAGTTTTACCAAACATACCCTAATATAACGAATCTGTAACTGATGTGTCATTGTCTAGGTAACTTTCTGCAACTTAACCGTTTTCGCATCCTGTCACCTTAAGCCTTGATTTATGAGTGAAATATCCATATCTGTACCCGCTTGTAACTGACAGCTATTGTAAGAAGATACAAATAGTTCGTTCCCATACTGATTGTATAGGTGTAAAGACTAAGGAGACGATGTTTTAGAATATAATAGTCTATATTTTGGAGTTTCATGTGAAAAGCATGACAAATCAATGATATTATTATCTGAAATTCTTAAAAAATAATCGATATTCTTACTTGTGCTATTAGGATAGTCTTTCTCCATCTTCTGTGTGCTCCTGATATCCCATGGGTGGCAGCTTTATATTGACCTACATTTAGTCGTTTCAGCCATTATTATTTCTGTCTGGGAGTTGAGCTCTGTAAGATTATCTGTTATAAATTTGTCTTGGGTGATTATGTCGTCAAAGACTCGCGTATTTATCGCCATCAAATTCGATGATTCGCTTGTGTTATTTGATGAAGCCTCCAGGAGATGCTGAGTCTCAAGCTCCCATGTTTCCTGCACCTGAAGGTGGAGATCTGTGTAGCAGTCCAAGCAACTCTGTGATGGATGTGTCAGACCAGATGCTTCTACCTGCAGGTTTTCCAACACTAGATAGCTTTAACCACCTGCAGGCTGCTGCCTCTGTGGAAGATTTGACAAGCAAAAATCAAGAAGCCCTGAAGAATACTGCATCTGGTCAAGTTACCTCCACTCTTCCATCTGTCAACCGTGAGTTCGATCATGTTGTAAAGGCTGAGGCATTGATGACATTTGCTTCAGAATATGGGTGTGTAGAAGCCCCTAGGAATGACATTTCCTCTGTCATTATTCGAAGTCCATATGTTCCAAAATCTTGCAAAGTGGATTCGGCATCGAGTTCAAATAATTATGTATATTCGGCTACACCACCTTCTTCTCCTTGCTGTGATGGATCCGATGAGAAGTTGCCTACAAGTTCGAAAGCACGTACTGAGAAAAATGATGCCAGTTCCCTTTTGAGATCAAAAAACTATTACACCCATGTTGATCGTGGGAAAAAGCAATATGGTGGAATTAACAATGGCTTTTCTAAAGCTGAGGCTGGAGGAGCATCATCGCAATTTTCGGTGTTAAATAAAAAAAATGGCAATGCGGTTTCAGCTAAAGCTGCTGAAGATAATTTTCTTCCATCTTCAAGAACTGTCCTTGCGACAGGTATTGAGTGCCTTGTATGCCAGGCTTCCATGTGCAGGCTTCGACATACACTGCTGTCGCCTGGCAACCTATCACTTGCTGGCTTGAGTGGATTGCCTGGAAATAGCACACCCAGTCAGATCCATGCAGATTCTAGCACTATTATGAACAGCATGTCAAGCAGATCAGAGTTTAAAAAGAAAGAAATCATCCCTGCTCGGTTAGCTGGTGATGTAGATGGAGGAATGCGAGAGCCGTTGACTGCTCCTGTTGGTGTCTGGCGATCTGTTGGTATCCCAAAAGCTACCAAAACAAGTACTGCCACCATGGAAGTTGGCCATTCCATACCAAATAATTCATTCATAGAAGAAAACATGCTCTCTTATGGGCTTCGCCAACCACTTCAGGAACTTCTTGATAGCTTTGCATTGCTTGTCCAGCAAGCAGCTTCATTTGTTGATGTGGCTCTGGATTCAGACTGTAGTGACGGCCCTTATTGTTGGCTTGCGCTTCAAGAGCAGAAGAATCGTGGATTTTCCTGTGGACCTTCAATGGTGCATGCGGGCTGTGGGGGACTTCTGGCTTCTTGTCATTCCCTGGATATTGCTGGCGTGGAACTTGTTGACCCGCTGTCAGCCGATGTGAGCTTCTATCATCTTTGGAGTTTGATCCTCCAGTATTGGCATTTGGGTTACATATTCAAAATACTAAATCGATGTTATGATTTTTTTTTGTTTCTTTTTGTGTTTATTAATGTAGATGAATGACACTGTGTCTTCTCGGCATTAGGATGCATTTTGTAAGTATGTCGAGGCAATGTATCTAAAGAAACAATTCTTATGGCAATTTCTTGTTATTTTCAGGTTCTTGCATCTTTAACCATTAGTTTGCTCCAGTCAGACATAAAAGCAGCCCTAAAATCTGCGTTCAGCAATGTAGATGGTCCTCTATCTGTAACTGATTGGTGTAGGGGCCGTAGTGCATCCATTGAGACAGGAATGGCTTGTGATGGAGTTTCTGTAGAGTCCATTGCAAGTGCAAGTGAATGTCGTGATTCTTCGAGCACAGTTACCGTTTCAGTTGGCGAAGCCATGAGTCCATCTCTGGCCTCTGCTGGTGGAGGGTCTGGCCTCAAAAGTAAGATTGTCTTTCTGCTTATAGTCCAATGATTGGTTAATCTTATTTTGCCTGTTGAATGTTAATTCTGTTTCTATTACAGCTGATGGAGCCAGGATGGACGAGTCAGCCACTTCCACATCAGAATTGGATCAGCAACAATGCTCACGCATCCGGCCCACACTTTCAGTTGTTCCATTTCCTTCCATACTTGTTGGGTACACATCAATACTTCGTCATTAATGATTTCTCTAATAGGTCGATGTTGGGCTTAATTTGGTTTCTGTTGTGCATGTTCCTCATGTACCTCTTCGAGGAGTTAGATAACGAAAATATTGCAGTTGTTGCTTCTTGTTCGCTTGGTTGGTTGGATAGTACAGTTTTATGTCTTTGGGGCTTTGTTGATCGGATATTTATACATATAACTTATAAGTCAATAATGAATCTTACATGCCCATCATGGTGGTTTTGCTAATTCCAAGTTATTCATGGTAACCTAAGCCATTGGCTTAACAACGTCCATTTTTAGGCTACTGTTGGAGTATGGGTGTTTTTACTTCTATGTAATAGTCTAATAGATATTCAATTATTGTTTGCACTAGGTACCAAGATGATTGGCTTAAAACTTCAGCTAGTTCTTTACACGTATGGGAGAAAGCTCCTCTTGAACCATATGCGACTGCAAAACATGTAAGTTTCATTTAGTGTAGCTGATGAACTTTAGTTTTGCCTCTTCTGCATCCACTTTCACTTTGATATATAACTTATATACTTTGTCTCCCCCTCCCTCTTCTTTATTGGCAGATGAGCTACTATGTTGTCTGTCCAAATATAGATCCACTAATATTGGCTGCTGGTGATTTTTTCTTGCAACTTGGAACAGGTTAGTGCCATTGATTAGTATTGGTATTTATCTGAATATTCCAGAAAAATGTCAGTATGGTATGGATTCATTTATGTGTTTGATATACGTGATGAAGCAGAAATTATCAACATATTATGGGATACTACTACTCGTATCTTTATGTTGGAAGAACTTGGTAAAATTGGGGGGAGACTCCGCTCACTTTAGTGGTTAATGAATCCTAGTTGGTTTTTGTGTTTGGACGTCGAGCTTTAATTCGGTTGGGGTTAAGCTATTTTTTTGCAGTTTTAATATTCTTCTTGACATCTCATTCTGTAAATATTTATGCAAAGAATAACTTGATTGATACTTTCCGGTCCGAGGGGCATTATTATTGAAAAGTCCTTGGATGTAGTTATTACTTGCGAATGTCACCTCTACATCAGCAGGCTCATTATCATTGAACTCGTTCTGTTACACATTTTAGATATCAAGAAATGTGTTGTTAAGTTTTTTCAGTCTCGTGACATATTATGGTGTTCTCTATCCCAGTTTATGAAACCTGCAAGCTGGGAACTCATACACCCCAAAGTCTTGGAAACGAGATGGAGATAGATTCTGGAAAAATATCGCCTGGTTTTGTCTTTCTCGATTGCCCCCAATCAGTGAAGATAGACAGTAATAATGCATCTATGTTGGGATCAATCAGTGATTATTTTCTTTGTCTATCTAATGGTTGGGATCTGACTAGCTATCTAAAGACTCTTTCTAAGGCTCTTAAGACCTTGAAACTTGGTTCATCTGTGAGTATGAACACAAAGGAAGGAAATGGCGGGCAGTGTACGGTGCGTTGTCAATTTCATGCATATTTCTTTTTCGTTTCATGATGATTTACGCCTAAAAGATTTTGTCTATCATCTACCCAGTGCTGATCTTAAATAAACTGATATGCTCTTTCTGTGTTTAATACTGTTATAAAAATAAAAGCCGAGCTTCTTCTGATATTCAAAAGCTATTGGCTATGCAGCTGATATTGTGAAAGATGTGTGGTTATATAAACATCCAAGTCTGTCGTCTGTCATGGTTTTGTTATACTTGTAAATCTTCAGCTCAGCTAATAATTTTGTTGGATGTTCATATCCATTAAAGTTTGTAAGACATCAATGTTTCAGCATTTCACTCTCCAAAATCCTTAAGATCATTTGAAGTTCAAAATTTTCTTCTATCCCGTGACATAAATCTTCCTTCTTATGGAATCTTAGGTAGTCTATGTGGTGTGCCCCTTCCCCGAGCCTCTTGCAGTTCTACAGACGGTGGTCGAGTCTTCTGTTGCAATAGGATCAGTTATTCGGTCTTCGGATAGAGAACGGAGAACCATGCTACACAATCAAGTGGCAAAAGCCCTGAGCTATCCAGCTGCCGTTGACGAGTCTTTTTCAAATGTTTCGACTCTCACTGGATTCAGCATCCCGAAGCTGGTACTGCAGATTGTGACTGTTGATGCCATTTTCAGGGTCACTAGCCCCTCAATGAACGAGCTCGTCATCCTGAAGGAAATTGCTTTCACTGTTTACAATAAAGCTCGGCGAATTTCACGTGGGCCCCCTGGCGAGACAACAATGTCATCCTCATTGGTGCAGGAAAGATCTCATTCGGTCATGATGTCAATGACTTCATCAGTTCCTGGTATGTGGAAGGATTGTGCTGGCCCCCGAATGATGGGCCCACCTCTTCAAAGAGAAAGTGATCTTGATGCAATGAGACAAGGTTCATGGGATAACTCTTGGCAGACCGCAAGGGATTCGAACAAAACGGTAGATAGTTTCCCACAAAACGATATCCGTTGTCTATTCGAGCCGCTTTTTATTCTGGCAGAGCCTGGTTCCCTAGATCGTGGACTTTCTCCATTTGTGGGGACAAATCCAGCCGATCCATCAAAGCCGTTATCTGATGACTGTGTTAGTACGAGCTTTGTGCAGAGTTCTACTTCAGGGAGTGGAGATACCAATGGGCCCTCTTCTCAGCACGAGTCCATGGATTCGGATAGTTTCGGGTCGGGCAGTCGGAAGCTGCTTCCGAGCCTGCATTGTTGTTACGGGTGGACTGAGGACTGGCGCTGGATGGTGTGCATATGGACGGACTCAAGAGGGGAGTTACTCGATAGTTATGTTTATCCCTTTGGTGGAGTCAGTAGCCGGCAGGACACAAAGGGCCTGCAGTCTATTTTTATCCAAATATTGCAACAGGGCTGCCAGATTCTTCAGTCCTGTTCTCCTGATGTTAATAATGTGAAGCCTAGGGATCTTGTAATTACGCGTATCGGATGCATCTTTGAGCTGGAGTGCCAAGGTATAAACTAGTCCTTCATTTTCTGTTGCTCCTTTCAACATGGAGCTAAGGGAATTGCTGGTATCATCAAATATATGTACGCTTACACCTTCCAATTTTTGTTTATCAGTACAGACCCTGGATTTTATTCAGAATTTTTACATCAACAATCCCTCAATTTTATAAAGATGGATGAAAAGGTTGGGGCTATTTCAGTATTTTTGAAAAGCGAAGGGTTGTAACTGTAAAGAAATGGCGACATGAGAATAAAATGTCTGAAATGTTGGTGGACTCAAATCTCGATGGTGGTTTATTCAACCTTTTTTTAATAATAAATTATCTCAAACCTTGTGTTAGTTTTCTTCAATTTGCAGGGTCATCATAATTAGCAGTGTTTGTGCATATGAAAATTGTTCACTTTTAGTTGAGATTGTAGAGTTTTTCTAAAACACCATTCTCTATGTATTGATATTTGACAAAACACGTATTTGTTTTTGCAGAGTGGCAGAAGGCTCTGTACTCGGCCTGGGGTCCCGAGGTGAAAAAGTGGTCCTTACAGCTCAGGCGATCTGCCCCTGATGGAGTCCCCGCTGCTAGCAACGGGAATCCTTTGCAGCAGCAAGAGATGAATATGATGCAAGAGAGAGTAATACCCTCTTCACCAAGTCCAATTTATAGCTCCCATTCTAAAGGGTCGAGCGGATTTATGAAAGGTGGACAGACTTCGTCCAGGAAGCAGATAATGAGTGGGCATTCAGCTGTGGACAACTCAAAGGGCTTACTGCACTGGGTGCAGAGCATCAGTTTCGTGTGCGTCTCGATTGACCATTCCTTGCAACTTGTGTACCAAGCAGATTCAAATTCTCCTGGTACGCTCTTTTCTATTTCTAAAGTATACGTTTGCCTTTAAAATCCGATTTATCATGTTTTCCTTTCCATTTTATATTGCCAGCTAGTTTTCTTTTTCTTCATTTGTGATATCACCTTTTCTGCCTTAGAGCAATTTAAATGGGCAAAAGTTATATTAACTACCGAAATCACTAAAACCTGCTACGAATTTTGAGTTGGGAAAGAGTTTCGATTTGGTAAAAGCTAATAATGATCACCTCCATTGCACGAACCACTTTTGTGTTTGAGAAAGAAAAATTGTTATACACTTTGTGTTGTCTTGTTGTCACAAACAAAGTTTTCTCCCCTGGGTCAAATAAACCGATTGTCTTTTAAGGGGGTGTATTCGTTTGAGATATCTAAGCAGTTTTAAGATTTTAGAAGTCCTGGTTTATTTAACTTAGATTTTTTAAGACTTTCAAAAATCTCAAGGTATTCATTTGTGATTTTAATCTTTTAGAGGCATTTAACTTATTTGAGACAGATTTATTTGAGATTGAGATCTTTTGTTTGGATATTTCTGAGATTTCAAAATATATATATATGAAATTACACTGCAAATCTCACTAAGACTTGAAAGATTTCATAGGATTTCTCGTAAATTTGAAAATCTAAAAAAATCTCAAATTTCAAAGTCTCGAAACGTCACTCAAAATTCCAAACGAATAAATATATTTAAAAACAAAACAAAACTCATTTATTTTATGCGTATTTACACCCCTACAGGAACAAGTCAAGGCAGCAGCAGCACCACGTCAGCACAGTCAAGCAGCTACCTCGAGGGATACACCCCTGTCAAATCCCTCGGCTCCACCCCTTCTTCCTACATCCTCATCCCATCCCCAACCACCCGCTTCCTTCCCCCTTCTTCCCTTCAGCTCCCCACAGGCCTCACCGCCGGGTCCCCACCCTTAGCCCACCTCCTCCACAGCCGGGGCTCTGCCTCCCCACTCTCCACAGGCTTCGCTGTCTCACGGGCCGTCCCCTCGGCCCGTAGGGCCCACACCACCAGGGACGAGTGGCCCTCCGTCCTCTCTGTCAGCCTTGTCGATTACTATGGCGGCAGCAGCCACGATAAGCCTCCCCCACCTCCCCCGTCGGCCGGAAAGGGTGGCGGCAAGGCGGCGGCGGCGGCCGGCGGGAAGGAATTGGAGGCTGAGACTCGTTCGGTGATGGAGTCTGTGGTGGCCGAGCTGCATGCTTTGTCGTGGATGACGGTGAGCCCGGCATATTTGGAACGGAGGTCTGCTCTGCCATTTCACTGTGACATGGTCCTCAGGCTAAGGAGGCTGCTCCACTTTGCGGATAAGGGCGTGCTGAGGAATCGTGATCCTGTGAATAAGTAATTTGTTCTTGGGGTCGTTTTTTTTGCGGTCGTTCGGTAGAGTCTAACTGAGATTGAATTTTTATTTTTGTAAATAATTTCTAGATATAGCCTTTTTTTTGGGGCAATTTCTGGTATCAGCTATGATTTTGATTGGAGATGATGATGATTTATACAGATGAGGGGATATATGGAAGTAGAAATGTACACATTGATTACTTGATTTATTATTATGTCTTCTTCCTTGTATATTTGGCCTGCGCAGGTTTGAAGGAGTAGTGATACAGAGTCTGCACTGAGTTCAGTGCATCAACTCAGGCGAGTCCGTTTGTTAACATGCGCAATGCATAAATTCAGTGAACGAGCCATCGATGAATTGATATATTGATGCATGTTCTGACGGTACATCTATATATATATATATATATATATATTACATTTGTTGATGGCTCTATAGAACGTGTTGCCTGAATGCTTTCTGTGATTGATCATTATTGGCTTTATAGCAAAGCTGGTGAGGAATGGGTTATAATTTGGGTGATTGAACATATTCTTCTTATTTGTCTCTGAGTAAATTAGGTGCGTAATGGGGGTATGATTGGTGACTGCTTCGCACTAGATTATCATCTGTTATTTTGGCACAAATATTTTTTTGTTCCAGAAAGTTCCAGAAAAGAAAGAGTTCCTGAAAGTTCCACTAGCAATGTACGATGCAAAATAGGGTTCTATTCTATCGGCTACTCTCCATCACGTTCGAAGAAAGAAAAGGAGAAATAAAGCATGGTTGTATATACACATTGATGGCCTTGGCGTTCTTGGAGAAATACGAGCGATGTCGACGTCACTAATAAGTTTTGCATGGATTGTGTGAATGACTCTTAGTATTGATATTATTATTATCATTCAAAAGTATTGTATGGAAAGAAAAACTAAGAAGATAGTCTTAGAAGATAGTCCTGGTTTGCATGGATTGTGTGAATGACTCTTAGTATTGATATTATTATTATCATTCAAAAGTATTGTATGGAAAGAAAAACTAAGAAGATAGTCTTAGAAGATAGTCTTTGTGGGGATCGAGAAGTTTTATGAATACTACAAAAAACTAAATATATGAATGTACTCCCTTAAGAATGAATCGATTAATATTGAATAACATTACAAATTATCGTAAATCTTATACTCTCGTATCTGTCGTACGCTTCTCCAGAGTTTAGGTACACGATCCACAATGCCTTCGTGAGGAAACAATGCCGACGACAGGCGTGGCACTGCCATTGAGACGACGGGACGTCAGATTGGGAGCTTTCGGCGGGGATCCCGGACATCCGTCTGACTCTAGCTACAATTGTTCCTGCGAGCAAAAGAACTGTGACTTTGCCGGCGGACAGCGCGGTGGACAACACGGTGGTCGTGGTGGACGAGGTTTCAACGGGCAATGTTCACCACCACCGTTCGGCGATGTACTACGACGACGATACGGTGTCCGAAGTGAATCCATTTGGAGTACGCATGGGTCGACGGGTCGAGGAAGGGAGCGACATCCGCCGTTGGAATGTCGTGTTCCACGTCGACATCCCGAAGTTCACCGGGGGTCTTGATGTGGCCGAGTTCCTCAACTGGATGGCCGCCGTCGAGTCTGTCCTCAAGTCCAAGGAGGTGTGGGGGTGGGCCTCGTCGCCAAACGTCTACGTGGTCGAGCGGCCGCACGGTGGCATCTTTATTGTGGCAACATCATAAAGAAACACGACGACAACAAGGGAAACCAAAGGTCTCGTCATGGGCCAAATTCAAAAAACACATTGAGCGTTAGTTCCTCCCTTTAACTACGTTTGTACTATATATCAGCAGCTTCAGAATTTGAGGTACGGTGCTTGATCCGTTGATGAATATACAAATGAATTCTATCGTCTTCTTACGCGGGTCGAGGTGCGTGAAACAAACGAGCAATTGGTGTCCTGATATGTTGGTGGGTTGCACATGGCGATAAGGGATACACTGAACTTATTTTTCCCAAACACCGTGTCAGACGCCCATCAACGGGCACTGCTCGTAGAGCAGCAACTTTCATGTCGAGCGTCTTCGACCAATTTTCAGGTGCTGCTCTCATGAACGACGCCACCTTTAGCGACGAGGTCAGGCCGTCATTCAGCTGGTGTTGGGTCGAACACAAGTGGTACCGGCGCATCTGGTCCACAAACAGCACCGACTGGGTCGCATCCGGGAGGTGGGTTGTGGTGCTTCTCATGTACTGAGGCTCGCCACAGGCAGACCGGTTGCCCAAGATGGCCGAGGAGCACCTTATGTGGCGATGTGGGTCATGCTTTGGTTCTTCGACATTCATGTTTATACTATTTAATAAAAATATATTTAATAAAATTAATTGACAAGTTATATTTTTATACAAATAATTGAACTAAGATTAATCTTTTTTTGATAACTCGTAGGCATTAACTATTTTATTCAACAAAATTATGAACTCCTTAATTAATAAATACACTATTAGTTAGTTTATACTTCTAATAATAATTAGCAAATACGCATATCGTGGGTCGGGCCCAGTACTACTAGTTTGTGCATAACGGAACAGTCCAACCGGGCCTACAGCCCAGCAGGAGACTAATAACTAGAAAGGAAAGGTTTGAACCGCCTGCACTGTTGATTATGATCAAACTTCCATATAAACATATTCCAACATAAATATTTGATATTTTCCATAATCTATCTGTAACTGTATATAAGAACAGAATAAATCGAAATCAACTCGAAAATTTTCATTGGCGCCATCCTCATCGGCTTACAGTTTCAGGTTCTCTCTCTCTCTCTCTGTATTACGTTGTGTATGATTGTGTGAATCGCAGTGTGTGCGCGTGTTCTTATTGTCGATGAAGCTAACAGGCTTGATCGAGTACAGTGAGTTGATCTCTAAATCGATTCGATTACTGGAGTTTTCAATTTTTTTTTTTTTATTTCGTAGGTTTAGCTGATTCGTCCTCTTTTTATTGGAGTTTGATTGTGTATAAAGGAGGGATTTGATTCTATATTTTGAATTTTTGTTGTTTGTTTTGCTTCCTGGTCTGGATTTTTTATTGTGTGTGTGTGTGTGTGTGTGTTTTGATGTGTTAAAATCCTTAACCGGCAAAATTTGGAGTTCTCCAGATCTGAACTCCGTTTGAGCAATTTTCCTGATTTTGGGGATGAAAGGAATAATTTGGCAGTCATTGAGATTTTCTGATAAACAGAACAGCTCGATTTTATCACTATCATATTGCATTGATTTATTTATTTTCCGGAAAACAGGTTTATTAGCTCGATTTCCTGACTTCCTCTCTTGAGAATATATAGTTTCTGATATAATTTTCACGGGATCTATTAATTTTGAGATGATTATGCATTTGCTTGTATGAAATATGTATATGCATCTATTTAAGTATTATGACTATTGAATAGGAGCTGCCAAAACGTTCGCTTTACATCACGTAGAAAATATTTTTTGAATATGCATTGGGGATTTTTAATTAAGTTCGTGTTGTTGCAAGCTTTACCTAGATTTACTCATTTACTTTGCAATTACAGAACTATTCACTCATTGGAAAGTTTAGATCTTGTCAAGTTTGTTTGAAGCCGCGAACTAGCACCGATAGAAGCAGTTTGGTTGATGTTGTTTGTTGAAGTCATAACTAAAGTCTCTATCATTAGTCTGATGAAGACTTATTACCATTGCAGGATTTACATCATAATATTAAGTTTATTGAAGTTGGATTCTGTGGCAAAAGAAGTTTCTTTCTATCGGAGAAGATGACGAAGAATTCCAAGGTGAACTGTAAAAGTTTCTCAAATATGGAACTTAGCAATGAAAGGAATAGCTCAAAAGTTTCTTTGCTAGTTGTACCCATGAAGGTTTGTGCCCTTCTGTTCTCTTGTTATGTTCTCATACTTAGACTATGTTTGGTAAAATTAGCTGATAAGTAAGGATGAACATTGATTGGTGCGGTTCGTTCAAAACCGAAAATCTAAAATTTTTACACCGAACCGCACCACAAGAAAAGAACAAATCGAACCGGAATTTTCGGTTCGGTGCGGTTCGGTTTTTCGGTTAACCGCAGTTAAAAAAATACAAAAATACAAATCAAAGTCCAAACCATGCAAATTAAACATTAAGCCAAACACAAATCCAAGTTCACAAAATTGGTTTATAATGTTTAAAGTTTAAATTAATTTATTATACATTTAAAATCATGTAAGACTTTAAAAGTCTAAGGTAATATACTAGCAATTTTATTTGACCCATCAAAGTTTCGTTTTGTGGTTTTCTAAAATTCAAACCGCACTGCAAACCGAACCTTCAAAAACCGAACCGCACCGCACCGAACGCATCGGTGTGATTTTGCTCATCCTTACTAGCTGATAATTGATAAATTAACTTATAGCTTATAAGTGATTTTCGAGCTTATAGCTTATGGCTTATATGATAAAGAGTTTGGTAAAATTAGTTGATAAGCTAGTTGAACTGAAAAAAAAAAAAAAAAGAAATTCAACGAGCTTATTTGAAAAGCTACCCAAAGAAGCTTATAATATAAGCTCGAGTTTTTTCAAAAAGCTCGTCCTACCAAACGAAGCTTATTTGAATACAAGTAGCTTATAAGCTAACCAAATAAGATATAAACTAGCTTATTTAGGTTGTCATGCTCGAAATTTAGGTTGGGAAATAAGATCGTACTGCATGAAATTTGACATTTAAAGTACCTAGTTCCTTATACTAAGAAAAGAATTGTGAACATACATGAAAATGGAAAGAATTGGAAAAAACCATTTTTCCCCATCATTTCCTAATATTTTCTATTCATACGCTCCTTAGGAACAGTTATATATGCAACTGCTGTTATGAATAATCGCATTTTGCCTCTTTTATTTTCATACTTTATAATAGCTTTGTGTTGGTCTCAGAGAGTTTTTCTTCCGATGGCCAGGGTACGGAGTCGATAAATTCAGGGTCTCAAAATATACCATTTATAAGGAAGTGCA